GACCTTCTTGGTGCGCTTGGCCATGCCTTGCCAGGAAGAAGGCTAGTCGGACCAACCGTGCTGCCAGCAATACCGCCCTGAGAGAAGCAAGGGGCCACGGTGCAACAACCCTCCAACAAGCAATCTTTGCAGCCCGACCCTTCGAGTGCAGAGCATGATAAAAATAACATTAAATCAAAGACTTTATTGCACTATCCATCTACTCGACCACTGGCCATGTTCGCGCGCGATAATCAAGTTGGTCAGTGAAACATTTTCAAAAGAACCTACATGCGAACAGTCTGGAGCAGATCTCAGTCGTTCTTGTCGCAATGTGGAGTTCCCATTTTCCTGGTGCACCAATCTGCTTGCAACAGAGGCTGGTAACGAGAAAAGGCACCACGAATGGACAGCGGACAGCTAAGCCGGTGACTTGGTGTTTGGATAGAAAGTCTCCTTGTATCTGATCCAGTATCGCTTGCTGAAGCCACTCCTTGGTATGACGAGTCACCTTTTTGGTAGAGAGCAACTTCACTTTCAGACCCTTGGACTGGAAATGGTTGGCGTACTGGACGACAAGTGGCCGCTTCCCGGTGCCACGCCCGGTTCTGGGCGCGCCGCCATTGCCCAACCAAACTCTTCTTGTGAAGAAACGAACAAACCTCACACTTGTCTGATCGGCAGCTCGGCAAAGCTCAGCAGAGACATCAAAACTCGCCGGGACTTGCCGGGTTGCTCTTTTCGGTCCAGGAGGAACGTCAAATCTGCCAGCGCATCGGCTACCAAGCTGTTGGGCTTGCCCTGGGAACACACGCAACTCACCTAACTTACTTCGCCTGGTTTGAGACAGGTGGAAACTGGCTCCTCCTTGAACTTGTCGTCCACAGCAGCTGCCAACATCCGCCTCAGAAGCGCTCTTGACGCCGTTGGCCCAGCAGCCTCGTGCAAAGACATGCAGAGTGCAAAAGCTCTCCTGACCTGGCTGTGGTACCTGAAAGTCTCTGGGCAGGCCCTCGACATAGGAGTACACACTCCTGCACGATAGAAAAGAGTAAACCACATGAGATGCAGGGCTATGCTGGTCCTGCTTGGTACTGCACCTCGCCGGTCTGGAATGAACCGCTCCGGTGCAATCAAGGACTCTATGAGGCCAGAGGTGTCAGTGCCAGCTTCCATCCTGGGATCATTCATCCGTCTTTTGCCCACATGAACAGCTTGATTTCTGCCAAGTGAACCTGGCTCAACACGACACTCAGAAAAGCTGAGGTTCTCTTCTGGCTTGCCTACACATCACCTTGCAAATGCCTTCTGCCTGCATGTGCAAATGCTGCATGCCGCAAATGGTGCCAAGCATCCTGTACCATTCAAGAGCCTGTGCTTACAAACAGAGTGTGTAGAATAACGAAATTGCTATGCAATGCGATTTGCACAATCCAAAACTCGATCACAAGCGCCTCCGTCATAGCTGCCTTACGGTAGCCACGGGCCCACAGTCGCAGGATGTGGTTCTCCTTCTCGCTGACATCTGCATCAGGCGCCCACGCATCTGCTACCAACCTGTCACAAGGCAAAGGCAGACTTCATATGGGGCAGCTGCATGCGTTCCAAAACTGGGAGCTGATGACATCTTTTCAAGGTCACTACGAGTATCTGGAGAAGGGGAGAATGCTGAATCTGACGGGCGACTCAGCATGCGCCAGTTGGACTGCACAGTCCAGTGCGTCAGGGGCCGGAAGCTCTGAAGCACCAGGCAGCTCCTCTCTGCTTCGCACTGCTTCGCACTGCTTCGCACCCTTCGTATCCCTTCCGCCGCAGAAGCGCCACAAAGCGCTACATGATACAACCATGGTCCTGCTCATGGTGCCTTGACAGCTCGGACAATGCAGATGTCAAAGCCTGGGCAGGATGTGAGGGCGAAACCAGCCCACCTTGTGCAGGTCGCCCGTCTGCCTCAACTCGCTCTGCTGGAGGTGCTGCAGATGCTGCTGCCGGATCTGCCGGCTCGTCCTGGACCAATTACACCACAGGCCACACCAAAGTGAGCGCACGCAAAGCAGGCTCTGACCTCGTGTCCAGCAGCCCTGTGCGGCGTCTGAGCTTCCAGTGCCTGGCCAGTTGCAATCATCGGAAAGCCTTGAACCAAAGCCCATCACAAAACCCTGCCTGGAGGGCTGTTTGGACCAAACCCAGGCGCACCCGAAAGGCGCGGTCCGAGCGACCTGCTGGAGCTGGCAGGCTTGCAGATCTGTAGGACGAGGCAAAACAAGTTGCCTTGCATTGGGCCTGGCTCACTGCTTAAAGCACGCTGGAAAAGTCGCTCTGCCTTCTCAAGACCTCCAGGTATAGCGAGCGCTTGGACTTCTACAGCCTCTTCGGATCAACATGAGTAGTTTGCTGATTCCACCTCCCATGTGAGAATTGCACGAGGAATCAAGAGTCACCAGTTGCCTGCAGTCCCGTCTGCTCGGGCCAGCGCCTCCTGTATAATAGATTCCATCAAGATCTGCGTCAATCATGTGGATTTTTGCGATGCTGCTGCACAGCAGCACCCGGATGGAGCAGGGACCTGTTTTTGTGACAGTGGAAGTGGCGGAATGTCTGTGCTGGCATGAATGCCTGCCCCAGTCCTCTGCTGCCTGAAGAGCATGGCTGCAATCCAGGGAATCCTCAAGTTCTTGAGAAGCGAAGTGCTATGCGTACAGCTGGAGGGGCTGCCAGCCTCCGGGGTGTCCTGCAGGAGTGGGCCAGCCATATCGAGGAGTCGCTGTAGATCCTCCGCTCACAGCTTTGGAGCCATGCAAGCTGCAGGTGAAAATGTTGAGTTCTGACAAGTCACAGCCAAGTTGGCCCCGTCCGCACGCGCAAAGGTGCGGCCCCGAGTGAGGAGCAAAAGCGTTGGGAGGCCCTGCGCGCAGCGCTCACAGCAGGTCGAAAGGCTTGTCTGCTGTGGTCAGGCCACAGGAGTGTGGAGGGCGCTGAGGGGACGCTGAACCAGGACCGAGGTTCTCATCCCAAGCGCCCTACATGAATACCCCATACCCACCTCTGGAGCCCCAGGAGTCTTTGGTCAGCGAGAATTGTCTGCCCCGCAAATGTCCTTTTTACGAATTCTACTTGAGGTTTGTGGCCTTGTCAAGTTCTGATGTGTAGGCTTGCTTCCATCTCTACTCATAATCTTGAAAACATTTTTAAACTGACCGCATATAGGTTACCAGCTACATGCTTCGGAAAAACTAACAACGTCCGCAAAAATCCAGTTAGGGCCAGGCTGTTACTACTGGTCGCGCAGTCGCCGCACTTACTTGAACTGAATAAGATGAAAAAGGGCTTTTGACAACTCCTACAGAAAGCACAAGATGAGTTGCCTTGATGTGACGCGCTCGCACCGTGGCCGGGCAGCTTTCAACATCCAGACTCCGGCAAACCAAGGAGCCTGTCCATGAAGCCAGATGCACACACGAGACGAAAAGAACGCTCCAGAGCGAAGAGTGGCACGCAGTGGTACCAAAGCGCCTGAGTTGTTTGCAGACGCCCAGTCGGCAAGAGCACTGGCAACCTCCCTGCTTCCTTAGCCACCAGTCACAGTCACATTCAAAACGAGCCGAACCTCACAGAACCGCCTTTGGCAAAGCTGCTCTTGCTCCAGTCAGCTCCGCAATGTACAAGTACTGGTTGTGGGCCAACAGCAAGATCCTAGCGACACAATTCCTTATGAGTCCTTCGCCCATCCTGAGCAAGTTGGCCTGCAGCTCCGCGTCACTGATCCTCGCAAGAGAAGCCTGCCAAAAACTAGACATGACATGGTAGGCTATGCTCTTCTGAATGGCTCACTCAGGACCATCCCTTCCTGTGTGGCCCTGCGAAGCTGACCACCACGGAAGGCCTGGTCACTTTGTTGAAAAAACTCCAAAATACCACCTGCATGATCCTGCATGGCCCCACCTGCACGGGTTGCCTGACGCGAAGAAGCTTCAGCATGGCAGGATGGCGCGGCTTCACATTTTGGCTCAGAGCATGCTAGCCGCTAGCCAGGGCCGCTTGTCATCAGAGAGTCATTGCAGATGCATCGCAAGCTTGGTTACAAATTCTACTGCTACAACAACTGTTCCGATGTTGAGCAACTCGCAGCTCTCGCAGCAACTTGCGTGGCACAGAGGAAAACGTGCCACAAAAGCAGCTATACAAAGGCAGCCACGCTGACAAGGACACAGCTCCGAGCGGTCAGGTCCTGGCCTCTCCACTGGGACAGCGCCTGAGTCGGTGGTCCTAGACTCCATGCGTCTGTCGCAGGTTCTCCCAAGGAGCTGAGCAGCTCGCAATGGACATGCAATCAAACTCAACATGTACCCTCCGTGATGCCCTGTCCTGAAAAGCTGGCAGGCACTCGGGTCCAAAGCGCGGCCTGCACGCAAGCAACAAAATCCACCAAGATCTTGTGCCTTTGGTATTCGTCTCAAGGTCCATCGGCTGCCAAGGCTGCGGCGCGCTGCAGGGCATGGGGGCATGTGCCAGGGCTGCCTTCGACCGAGCTGCTATCTCTATGCACCCAACTGTCTCTGACACTATGCTGAGCCGTCTGCAACGTTGCCCGCCTGCTTTGGCAAAGCCAGGGCATGCGGAACGTGTTCGTTGATGCCCAGCTGGGCCAAGACAGCTTTTATCGAGGCCTCCACATGGCCGCGGATTGACATCTGATATCCACTGGACACCTCTGCACATCAGGCCTCAAGCTGCTCTTCTGTCCTCTGCGTGCGGGCTGAGAGGACATGAACGTCCTTGCCAGGATAGCCATGTCCAGCTACAACATCACAGCCAGCCGACTTAGTATCCAGGCTATCTTGCCCACGGATAATGAAACTATGCCAATCCAATACGGGCCTAGCAGAAGTTTGGCTTTGCTGGACTGATGGTACCTTACATACCCTCGGCTTCGCATGAAAAACATTTGAACACAGTACAGGTGCGGCCACGAGGAATAAAAACAAGAGGGCACCATGTCCGAAAGCGACGCTCGCGCGAGCACACGGCACAAAGGATCCAGGGTGATCCAGGCCTGCTTCAGCTGCTGTAGGTCCCATAATGAGAAGGCCTGCGCCTCCGCAGTTCGGAATGGACAAGCAACAACCAGACGGAGCAAACAGCAGAAGCGCATGCTACGGTGCTACAGACGGTTGAAAATTGCAACTCTCAGAGTGCTAAGAAAGACTCTATGTGTGCGTGGCAAAGAAACTTGTGGCTAAGAGAACCTCACAAACAAAGGCACAAAAAGGCTGTCAATGCCGCTCCATTAGAAATGCACGTGTCGCAAGCTTTTTCGCACTCCCTGCTTGGCTCCAGTCGGAAACATTCTGCAGACGCTCACTCCTCCACGCCGCCGGCC